ACTGATAAAGGAGGGAGTAAAATTAAATATTTTTATATAGAAAAATGAAACATAAAAATTTTAAAACAAATCGTTTTTATTCGTTAATCCTTTTTTCTCTACTTGAATTATTGATTCTTATTTAAAATACATAATTTTGAATTCATAGGTTTATTACTTTCTAACTAATCATTTTAAATGTTTTGATTTATTAGACTAGTAATTTATCTTGTTTATTTATTAATTTATTATAAATTTACTTTATTGAAATTTTTTGAATAAAATATTTTATTTAAACTTTTTAAATGATCGACTATTGTCTATTTTAGGTTTTTTTATCAAATCTACTCTTTCAAACATTTGATCATCATCTATTTTGATTGAAATGTTTTTGATGGGAATGACAGATTTATTGTCTTTATCATTTACCTTCATTGGGTTTGTTGAATTTTCATATAAAAATGAATGCTCTGTTTTTAGATTAATTTCTTCTATTTCAGTTGATTCTTCAACGGATGATCCTATAAAATCTACGTCTGTTAACTCAAAAGTGCTGCCAGCTTTCTTTTTTTGTACAAACGATTTTAGTTCTTTTATAAATTTCTCTTCTTCTTTGTTTTTTTCTTCTAAAATTAGTTGGTGTGCATTTTCTGCATTTTCATTACATTCTTCATTTTTACTAACAAAACTATTTAATTCATTTTCATCTTCTGTTACACTATCACATTCATCATCTGAACATTCAGCCTCAATATCTAAATATTTATATACATCTGGTTTATTCTTATTCACTTTAATGTTTCTCTCATTAATTTGATTACTATCATCATCTTTATCAATTAAGTTTTCTTTATTAATATACCCATCAACTATTTCATTCAAGTTGTTATCATTAAAATCTAATTCATCATTTTCAGTTTGACTTAATTCAGAAGAACTATCTAATAAAACTGTTGAATCACTATCATTTACTTTTTCGGATGCTTCTATTTTATCACTAAATAATATATCTACTGGTTTTATAAATGAATTTTTCTTAAATACTCTCATTTTTACCGTTTCTTGGATCTTTTTTATTTTCAATTCTGTTAAAACCTTATTTCTT